GAAGCTGGGAGGCTGAAACCTTAAGGAAGTGCTCCCAACTCATCTACAACCTAAATTTATTAAATTCAGCCTATGCGTGGTTACCACGTACGATCCCGTGAAAATTTTTGGCGGAAAATGAATAACTCCGGAACCAAGGAAGCTGGGAGGCTGAAACTTTCAGGAAATGTTCCTAGCTCATCTACCACTTAAATTTGTCAAATCCAGCCCCCCATTACACGTGATTGCCATGTGCGGCCCCGTGAAATTTTCTAGCTGTAATTTGGGTAACTCGGGAACTGAGAAAGCTGGGAATCTGGGATGTCAAGGGTATGTTCCTTGTTCAAATATAGTGTGGGCAGTTAACTTCCCGAAATTTGAGGATCAGTATGTCAGAGGTTTCTACCTAGCGGAATTTCGAGTGATCTTATTACAGCACGAAACACTGCAAAAACGCACGATCGCACGGGCCTGCCCAGTGCGCGTCGCCAATGATTTTTTACTGTTGGGTATTAAACCCTGGTTCCGCGGCGGATCCATTCTCCCGCTTCACCGTCACTTGAAGTCACTGCGATATAAGCTGACTTTTGTGTTCTACCTGACACTTTTTTGTGCAAGTCATCCCATCCCATTAGCTTTGCCTGCTGCTTCGCTTTTGCAGTGGTAGAATATTCTTTTTAAAACGACAGCTTTGTTGGAACCTGTTAATGTATTAGTCTGGATTTAGTGAATGAGTAGATGGGTACATACACTGAGTGTGCTGGATTGTCACTTCTTCCTCTTTGTTATCCTTTAGTATTTTGATTAGTGTTTCCCGGTTGTCCAAATTCGTTGCTTCGAGCGTCGTTTTTTCCACTTCCTTTTTGTACAACGTTTCCATTCTCGATATGCCTAGCATCCGAACTTCCTGTTTGCGACGCTTTTCCGCCAGATTTTTGTCTTCGTCTTTACGTAGCGCTTCCTCCGTTGTCACTTTCAACTTCTTTATGCTTTCAGTTATTTTAACGTTGTTTCCGTACTGGTCTTCCCAGACCTCTTTCACCGGCGCCTCCGGTTTTGCTTTTGGCTTTTCCACCACTTCGCCACGCTTCTCAGCAAAATAATTAGCCACGTTGGCGAGCAGATTGTCATCCGCGCCTTTCTTGATCAACGCCACTACACGAACTTCCTTCCCATCTGCACCCTTCATGATAATATTCTTTTTCGCCACAACCTGAATCAGACTTGCGTCAACTTTTTCAACAATTAGTGCTATAATACCTGGTGGCAGTTCTTCCTACAATCAAAAAATTGGAAAAAATATGTCTGCTCGGTTGGCGGTACTGCACTTCGATAACATTAGGATCTTAAACTGGACAGAACAAGCAATAATGTTATCAAAAAAACTTAGAGAAAAATACAAAACGATTTCTAAAACGTCTTTGAAATTTAGACTATAAGCGTTGTGCAGTTTGAAAAATCGGTTTATAGCTAAGCTGTGCATGGCAGATTTATTTGTTTTTTCACCTATCGATGGGATTCCGAATGAGATAGCCCAATAGGTGTCTTTTTGCTTCAGAGGGATATTCTATAAATATGAATAAAACTGAGAAGGATCTTGAAATTCATCGCAGCGGAATGGAATTTCAAGCTTTTGTTAATATTGCAGTTACGTTGAGGCATACTTCACTTCATCATACAAAAACAATCAGAAATTTCGAATGAGGCATGTTACAAATAGCACCGTAGGACCAGCAGCTGCCTTCATGGGTGATTCAGAGGGAACGAGTTTCCGGTTTTTCATTTTTACATACAGAGGTCGCATTTTCGTTCCGATTGTTTCAAAAATCGTATCTTCCTGCAACAGGACTTATTGCTTGTATTTACTCGTATCAGAATGAAAATTTTTCTTTTCACTTAACTGGGAGACATGTCGCACTGGAAAGTAGCATTACTTTCGTGCAGAAGGTCATGCGTCAGTTCGACCAAATCCTTCACAATGCCGTTCCTTAAAGTCCTGATGGTGGCATCATGTTTGCTAAGAAAACAAACTTGCCATCAGCTTGTTTGCAGACAGCCCTCGAAAAAGGAGCCATCGAAGTCTTGATAACGCTTGATTGTTTTTGAACTTACTGCCACTTGGTTGCCTCCTTTTTTCACACAGAGCAAAAAATGTGAGATTTTTGACTTTTGACCTAAAGATCTATTAACACAAGTAAGTGACTCACGTCCTTTTCGTAACTATGTTTCAGAAGCGGGAAATATGCCGGTCGCGCGTTTGCTTCGATCTTTTCGTATACCGTTTCACACTGGAACAGTATATAAAGGAACTAGATTTTCTAATTTCGTTTAAAAGCTTTCAAAAAAGCCAATAAGTTTTAAACTCGTGAGGCGAAAGCTGTCAAGAAATCCAGTAAGTTTTAAATTCATGAATGAAAATGATTTTACAATCAGCGCTCGCTGGCTGGTAAAACCTTAGCTCGCTCGAAAGAATAGTGAGCGAAAAACAGGAGGGCGGTCGAAGGTGTAGTAGTTATTCAAATAATCATAAAACAGATAACTGAAAAATATAAACGAACCTCGTCATCAATTTTGATCAAAAATTCTGGCAGATTCACTGCAAACGGGTCAACCATTGCTCCGAAATCCAATTCGTCCTGAACAGTTCTGTATTTTAGGAAGAAAAAAGTACAAGAGCTAGTTACCTTCGGACATGTGTTTGGCGAGGATTAAAGCCATCCAAGTGAGTGAACTTGTTTGGGTTCTAGAAACTGTTGGGAAGTTTGAGAGCATGCACAAGATGTTATTTCTTCCTCCAAATTTTTGAACTGAAAAAATTATTCAGCAGAGGCCGAGAGTTATTGCCTTGCGAAACGTAAAGTACTGCACATTAAGTGACTTCAGCTAACTTCGTCATATCCAGTGGATGACATATTCGACAATTTGCGCTTGGAGGATGACGAACTCTGCAAATTTACTTACATTGAAATAGGCGCAAGAGTAGGAAGTGTGTCTAGCAACTTACATATCTTCGAACAACTACATCCTTCACTTCTGGCTATAAGCGATACATCATTTTTTTTTTCAGATTTTATCTCTGTCAGCGATTTTTCTAAGTACATTGTCAAGGCGCTATACGTGTGTGTGGCTTTTTTGTCGGTGCTTTTCAACTCAGCATCAAAAAAAAACTAGGAAGCTGAAGTTTTAGGAGGATGTTTGCTGCCCATGAACTCACGCGGCTTTCATGCTTGCTTGGTTACAGGCCTGGAAATTCAGACTCGAAATTTTTGGCCCTTTTCCTTCTAACTTAGGAGTCAGAAAAAATTTCGACAATTTTGTACATATCAAGCTGCAAAGCAGTGAAAATTTTTAACAGCAAGTGTCCGTTGCACAGAACTGCGCAGAACGCGTCTTTGCACCGGCGACCCTCTCAGAAGTCGATATTTTCAGTTCAGCTAGTGTGCGAAGGAAGCAGGGAGGGTAAAAAAAGCAGTTCCTTTTTTGCACTGGGGATCCCAAAGTTGTTCGTTTAGGAAAGAAAAGCGAAGAAATTATTTCAAGCGGTTTTAGCACCGTGAAAGCAAAAACAATTTATCTTTCCAGCTCGCGTGTTACTGGAAATCGTTTTTCTGTCAAAATACTTTTTACTTGTCCGTACGTGAGGTTTATTATATTTCTGGGAACTCATCATGTTCTCCATCATGAGACCAGTTACTGTTAGCCACTGCACCAAGATAGCTTCGCCAGCTTATCATGGAAACGAATCATTTACGGATCCCAATAATGGATTCGAAATAACGATTTCATCTTGCGTGTGGAGCGCTTTTCATTTTACCAAAGGCATCAGCGCTAGCCTGTGGGGCTAAAAATATTCTTGCACATGTATTTTGCTTTAAACTGGAAGCGAATGCATACCTTTGCTTTTACTTTCAGCTTTTTGTTTTGGCACCCTGAAAACCAGTGGGTTTCTTTACAGATAAGCAAGATGAAAAGAAAACTAGCATAATACTAGCGTGCTTAGTTAGAATTAAAAAATACAGTAGTAAGTCAGTAACTGGATAGTACTGCAAATTAGCGGTTTAAGAGTAGGGGAGAAAAAAGAAAAAGGGTTAAATGATAATAAGTAAAATTCATTCTGAGGTAGAATGTTTCGCTCTTTTAAGTCGCTTGTTGGCCGTCATCACATGCGTCGCTCGCACTCAAGCGATGTGAGCGTACATGCGAAACTGTGGACGGTTATTTGTCATACTCCAGAGTTTCAAAGAGCGAGGCCAACCTCAAAATACCTTTTTTTAGTCAAACCACATTAAAAATACAGCACGTTTTTTT